ATCAGTACTAAACTAAAAGGGGTAATGAATAGAAGAAGGGTGGCAAAAGTTTTAAAAGGGTTTAGAAAGTTTAAAATTTAAGAATGTAAAAGGGTCAGGACAAAGGAAAGAGATTGATGTAACAGCAAGTACTGATGCCTGAAACGTAGGAGAGTTGTAGGGTGGTAATGGGTAGTCTTGATCTAATGTCAGCAACAGTGTAGAGGGGACCTGAAGGCTCAGTAAGGGGACCCAGGCTACAACTATCCTACACAACAGAAATATGAGACACAAGCACCAGAACATAGTCAGAACTTGCAGAACAGGCAGAGAGAGAGAGTGAGACAAGAGTAGAGTATATAGAGTGAGCCTAAGAGTACAGGACTACCTAGAGTAGACAAGATCAAGACTACAGGACTAGTCTGATCTTGTACACCTATATATACTAAACTACACAAGAGTACTCAGGGAGTATGAGCCACTAAGAATGATAAGCCACAAAGAATGAAAGAAAGGAATGTCAAAGATAGAGGTACAAAGAATGAAGGGATGGACAAAGGGTAAGAGACCATAGAATGATACAAAGAATGAAGGGGTGGTCAAAGGGATGGAATGATGAAGTAAGGAAGGGTAGTGGCAAGAGTCAGCACACATATAGTCCATAGACAGTGCCCCTGAGGGACAGAAGTCCTGAGTTCTGGTACAGAAGGGTGCAGAACCCTTGGAACTGAAGGTACAAGAGTGGAGAACTGTAACACCTAAGGTACTACAGGCATAGTTAGTCTTACACTTACATAAGGGTGCTATGTTTTCAGAAGAAGGAAGAGTGTAAGCCTACTCTACAGCTTACAACAGCTTTTATACTGTTACATACCTTTCCTAGTGTAGAACCACATTTCTAAACCTGGACCTTCTCCCAAGCTTAGACCTCCTTAGTGTGGACTCTAGAGTTATACACATTTCCTCTTTTGTCTTCACACTATGTTTCCTTATTGTCTGAGTCATATACCCTTCATTCTTAAGTGTATACACTCTCCTTTTTATCTTTTACATTGTTTTCCCCTTTAAGTATGAGTCACCTTTGTTTCATTTCTAGTATATATAGTTTCAATCTTTCACCTTTGTTGTACTAGTTCTTATTCCTGACTACAACAAAGGTGAGTTCTTGTATGTACATAGACTAGTTCTTATTCCTGACTGTAACAAAGATACCTTTGTCCTGTCAGTATTCTGTATGTGTTAGCAAACCTGGAACTCAACAGAACTTGTTTACAATAGTGTTTAGCACTTCCCTAGTACTGTTCCACATATTAATTCTTTAGTAGTGTATATATATTTACTTACTAGTAATATACTTATTTTTTAAAGCTTTATACACTACTATTTAGTTAATTAATTATTAAAATTAGTTAAGTTATAATGACTAATATTTTTACATATTTTATACTAACAAATAATAACTCTTACAAGCTCTTATAACTTGTAAATACTTATATACATTGTTTACTCTTATGTTATAAAGTTTATAAACACAAATATATATACTATAATAACTTATTTAAAATCTAAACTATATTGTCCTTTTTTAATACTTTTACACTAACAAAACTAATTCTGTTAATATTCTATATTTTCAGGTTCAAAAGTATATATAGTAAGTAATAATTAGAAAGAGCTATATTGTTCTTTATTATTAATAATGTAACTTTAATACAATTTAAAAATTAATTAATATATATATTATTCTTATATAATATACAGACAAGTAAAAGTAATAAATAAGACACAACTTTGTCTAATAATTTAACAGTATTTATTAATAATATTATAATATTAATTCTAATAATATAACATGTTAACTAACATTTAATAATAATCTTACATTTTAAAGACTTAAATTAGTTACTAAAGAGAAAAAGAAGATTAAAAAAAAGTAAGTAAAGACAAAGTAAAAAAACAGAAAAAGAAGAGTAGTAAACTTTCTACTAATTTTAAATATGAGTATAAGAGTAACAATCTACTATTACTCTAACTAACAAGTCTCTTGTTAGTTGTTTTAGTAAAATTTAAAATATTAGACTATTATATTATTATATAACTCTCTTTTCTTTATTAACTAAGAGTTAATAATAATATTGTAAATAGTTACTGTTTCTTTATAGTTTATATAAAACTGTACTTGGACAATATTATAGTAACAGCATTTTAAAAGGATATAGTATCTCTGTTATTTTTAAGACTAAAAAGCAGAATAGAAACAATAATTCTAATGTATAATTTACAGTTAATTCAGAATTTTAAAATAATATAGTATAAATTTGAATATATATTATTAAATAATTATGTCCTAAGTAACATTTATAAGCTTAACCAACATTAGTACTACAAACTACAAGATATATTTATGAAAGAAGTGTATAAAACATACAAAACTTAATACTGTCTGTTCTTTACACATTAGTATTAATATTATCTGATTAGACAGAGTAAACATGTACAGGCTTAAGAACTACATTTTATAAACTATGAATACTGTTAGAGACTCAGCAGTACAAGTAGTGTTTACACAACATTAATAAATAATATTGTACTGGCAATTTCCTAGTCGTGGGAATTAACTCTTTGTAACCGTGGGAACAAGTCAATCTGAAGTCTACTCTACTCTGTAATATTGACCTCCTTAGTTTTCGGAGCCAATTATATGAGCTCGAAAGCTAAGAATTGACAAAGAAGGTTCTTTCAATAACCTAGAATACTCGAGACGGAATCCAAAGCCCTGCAATGACTTGTAGTACGTCCTCCGTAATGATGAGTATGCAGTTTACTGAAACACCCTTCTTACTCGGCCGAAAACGGATCCTTTATTGCAGAATAAATGTATGTTCTATTGCGAAGAATGCACCTTAACTGCGAGAAAGTCGCGCACACGTCCGACCATAGATCTCGGTTGTGTCGTGAATTAGGGAGGACGATAGAGTAATATGGACTCTTCTGCTCACTCGCTGTTGCGTTCCGAACTGATCGCGCAGAATATGTGAAAATGAAGTTGCGATTGAATACGAGGTATACATTTTGAATAACTATCGGGATTATCTTAGATTCGTGTGCACAATGGTCAAAGGACCATTAAGCGCTGAAACCGCGCGCAGTGCTCATGGAGGCGTCGGCTTGGTTCCATTCCAAAAGCCAATCAATCGACGGCGAGGCAAATGTATGCTTCTAGAGATTCGGGCCATCTGTTCTGCCGCGCGCTCCGGACCGAAGAACAGCTTCAACATTGGAAATTGCACTGGTGAAACGCTTTGGGTGATTGTATGTTTGTCGGCATTTGCTTGGTCATTAATTCTTGATTTTCATTGCATTTTTTTTCTCAGCTTGTACGAGAATTTTTTGCCTCTAGGCTTTTATTCTAGCGAGATGTTCTTCAACTCCTTGGTGTCACCGTAACCCTTCATTTCGCTACATTCTCACATTCCCCCGTTTCAGAGTCCTATTCACCTTTCCGTCTATCTAATATCTTGCGCAGATCGTGTTTGACTCTTGACTCTAATAAATCAGTCGGTACAATACACAGCGCTAGAGACAGGAAAAAATTCACATATTTTTCACATTTTTCAAGGGTCGCATGGACAGTTAACGAGCGCCACGCCATGTCGGACACTGGACAAGCGGAACGTACGACTAGCGACGGAGCACCGTTTAATTTATAATTGAGTTTTGCCTCTGGTTCCGTTTCGGTACTAAATCGCCGTTCTCACGATCTCGGGACCGAAGTCTAAACATCAAAGAAATTGATCCCGGTGGTTTTTGCAGCGCTCGTGAGATTCACTCGAGATTTCTTGACCGAAGGGTCGCCACAAAGATATATGGTGGGGACGGGTGGAGAGAAATATGCGAGATCTGAGTGAGGTTGGAATGTACGGCAAACACAGAAGCTTCTCCCGCGAATCGTGCGTACGAGATCCGTGCTCGTCGTTCCTAAAGAAATGCGCTGCGTCCCTCGCGGCTAGGAACAATGCTCAATATACTGCTACGATAGACGAAAAATGACCGCCTGGTGAATTCATCGGCAGGAACAAGTACCTGTGAAAAATGCGAAGCGGCTTAACGTATACCTGGGAGAAATGGTTACGTTGGACGAACCGAAGAATGCAGGCACAAGGGACCAAGTTGGAGCATGAATTCGAAAGAAAGAATTGCGCGTGTATCTTCATGTAAATATATTCGGAACGATAGCAGATACGCTCCGTCTTGGAACGCCACTGCGCCATGAATGCTTTGTAGCCGCTGTCTAGGGGTGTGTATCCCGGAGTGTCGGCATCAGAATGGGGATTGGTACCGACATGATCAATGAGAGATGAAACGACTGACGTCTGAAACAGATAGCTGAGTAACTTATTTCATTCATTCTCCAAGTGATAGTATATTTACCAAGATGTGCGCCCCAAATCATAATTGTTGGGATAACCCATCTATATCAATCCTAATATTCTATGTTTGGCAAAACGATGGCGAAAGATGCACATGGGAAGAATGATCCAGGATTAGAAAGATCAAATTGTCCAAGAAATCGAAATAACGAAACAAGGAGTCTGGTTTCTCTGATGCTGGTCTAGGCTTTGATGATTATGGGCGAAGGTTTCTCAACCCGATCGAGGCCGTACAGCAAGAATGGCTCTGCTTGATGAATAACGAAATTAATTTTTTGCTGTTGAGTCAAAGTGGATCTAGGATAGTCGGAGTCATATGAAAAGGACATAAGTTACTTGTCCAGATGAAACATAGGATAAGTCCGAATTCAAGCTCTACTAGTTAGCATAGCATTATTTGCGAGAGGCGCCTTCCTTATCCAGAATGTACACCACTCGCCAAAGTTCAGAAGCATCCTAGCAAGCTTTCCGCAGGTCTCAAGTCAAGGTTTGAGGTCTGACTCCTGAGCGAACTTGAGGCCGAGTCGCCGGTGCAGAACAATTGGCCGGTGCGGTATATACTTAGCAAGGTTGTATTGATAGATGGGAGATGGGAGAACGCACGCAGTACCCCCTCGGCACATCACCGAGAGAAGCTGACTCGAAGAACCACAAGGATACGTTACTAAGGCACATTGATTAGTGATCTAAACAGCCACTTATAAACAGAGAATCTATTATTAGTACTTACTACTGATCCGTTTTGCCGCTCGCGAATATTGGAGCACGAAAGAAGTGCAAACTTCGGAGTCGAGGCGGCTTTGAGGACGGGGGAGAATAGGACTGCGTAAGCCCCGGAGTGTGTAGTTATTAAGGGTGCAAGTACTGTCCGAAGAGAAGTGAACGGCTTATTGTTGACTCGAAGCTGATACACATGAAAAAGCCGTGTGCTACATAGATGTATTTTGGTCCACACCCTTAATCATCTTCGGACGTCTGGAGTGCCTCGGAGTCAAATAACACTGGCGTTCTGCCATCTCATTAGGTACAATCACTTGTCGAGGCTATATCGCCGCAGTTGAGTCCGGAGTTACTTTCTGTTTTCTCCTTCGACCACTTTTCTCCGTATCAATTGCTGTAAATAAGATCCGTGGTCCATTCTAGGGGCATAAGAGCCAGTCATTGAAACAGAAGAAAAATATGATCCGCGATGGTTCTTTCTCCAATACCAGTCCTTGAAGAAAGATTTCTTCCCTTTTCGTCTCTTGTTTGCCCATATTCGGTTTCATGACGCAACAAGACAATAGGACAGAGCGTAAAAGGTTCTTAAGTAGCTATTCAACAACCAGACCAGGAATGAATTAGTGCGAAGTGTCCCTTGATAGGTTCAAGCTACGGAGTATCAAGCCACAAGAATGTTCATAATCCCCTAGCCAATAATAACAAAAAGAGTGACCCTATACGTTCTGTCATGGCAAAATGTCACAGTAAAATGCAGATGTTGTGATGCTGCATTTTATGTTGGTGGATGCCCAAGCCACCATTCTATTCAAGCGTTAGTTTCTCTATTTCGAGACCTTGTTTAATGCGACGAATTTGAAGGACGGGGCTGCGGAGAAGATTGAATAGCTGGGGAGAAAAAATGTCGTTATTCCGTAAGAATGAAACAGAAAATTGAGTATAGCTGAGCAATCGTTATGTTCGCAAGTTTTCTAACCAATTATGAGCATTCCGCTGTATACGATAAGCTCGTACCTCTAGCGTTAGACAGGTACATGTGGATACTCACGAGCTCAAACAGTGATAATTTTACAAATAGGAGAAATGCTCCAAACAAGGCATTGAAGAGTCCCACTCGGAGTACTGTTAACCGATCCGAGTATGCCTGGGGTAGTATGGATTGGAAGCCCCGGAATAGGCTTGAAGAATGATTGATATGCATATTAATTGAGTTAGCAGCGATCGGCACATTTGCCTCTACAAAAAAGGTAAAAAGACAAAAGAGACTAGTCGGAGAAGCGGATGCGGCGGTACATGTTCCGTTTGATTGTTGGCCAAGTAGAGAAGACCTTGAAGAGCAGTCTTGCGAATAGCACCAGACACGAGATGTAACCAGGCTGTACAAAGTAACAAATCGGCTTGTAACATGACGCGATGCAGTCGGGCTGGTTGCTTGTATTGCATTTTGAATTTAGGCTGCTGAGCGGTGTTGGTGTCGGTGTTGTGTCGGTGCTAGGCACACGGCACAATCATTCTTAAGCAGAAACACAAGTTAGAAACTGTGGAAACAGATACTAAAGTGCCGTCAGAGCTCAGTAGAGCCAGTTCTTCGTGTCCGACGTGTCGCCATCGTCTCAATCAAACAAGGCAGTGGAACGGCGGTATGCGGTTCAGAAAATGCAGAGAATGCGGCATCTATAGCCCTTTGTGATGGCTCTTTGCGGGATCCGATTCGTCGAATACTTATTTAATTATATCACCGTCCCTGCTATCGATGAAAGTATCCGAGAATACAGGTCGAGACGAAACAAAAAGGTCGCACGGCACGAGATGGACGAGATGGGAACAGATGACATTGTGCTAAGACGTTGATGAAGGTGAGAACCCCGATGGGGCTGTGTAGCAGCGCGATTTTCTGCCAGAAGCAAGTGCCTGATCGGGTAAAGACCAAGACGGGATCGCCTCGGTTCGGCTCGGTTAGCTTATATTTGAGGATATTACATAAGATAACGGTCCTTGTAGGGCCAGTTGCTCCCGATGCCCGAGATAAAATCTTGCTCCGCAGTGGAGAGGTTGCCTGCTGAAACATTGTACGGAGGCTATAGCGAAAATACAGGTCTAGAGCAGCATTTTATTTTTATTTTTCGAGCAAAATGCTTGCAAAAGGACCAACCCCAATGACTCTATAGAGTTGTGACAGGTCATAACAAAAGCAGAGGTAACCTTTGATTTTCCGCATCCAGACCCTGAGTCTCACGACCCAATTTGGGATGACCCTGAATGGCCACTTACATAATACTAGTGCGGCAACTCTTGGACTAAGAAGTTAGGAGGGGGGTTTGGGGGGCTTTGCCCCCCAATTAGGTTTGGGATAAGTTGGGTTGTTAGGTTTGGGTGTTAGGATGGGTTTTGGCTAGGATTAGGGAGGGGAACATGTATTTTATTAGAAAAGGACTTTATTTTGACTTAGTGAAATTCAAGTTGAACTGTGGGTGGCCAATTCAAGCTAACCAAAAAAGAGCCGTGGGACTCAGGGTCTGGATGCGGAATTGACGCGACTAGCAGAGGTGTGAAACGTGACGTGACGAAACAAACACCGCGCTGATGACATTGACAAGAGCGCACCAAATGCTGCAGCACGACCAGTAAC